GGAGTATTCAAAAGCAACTGCCACTCCTGTTCTCTTCTTTGATGCTTCCCTATCTGTGCTTTTGTTTCCCTGTGTTTAGTGGCTATGGTGGGAAATAGTGGGAAAAGCAGGTAGCTCTGTGCCATTGCTTATAATAGAAGCACATTGAATTTCAGCCCTTTTATTTTGTGTGCAACTCCTCTGAGCTGCTTAAAGTAGCTTCCAGGCTAGGGCTGAGGCAGGCATGCACAGCTAAGTCCATGTCAGCGGAGCTTGTACAACACACCCAGGGATGTGCCACTACTTCCCCAGGAAATGGCTGTTTAAAAGGAGTTCTTATTCTCAGCACATCACCATTTCCTTTTAGTTTTTTTAAGTTAAATTTTGTTTTTAGGTTCCAAGGCCTGGCAGATGCCCAGAAGTATTTACCTTGTGTAGAGGGCAGACAAGAGTTGATAATAAGCAATTTATGTGTGTGAGTGTTTTGCCTATACGTATGTGTGTGTACTCTATGTGCCCCTGCTACCTTTGGTGTCAAAAGAGGAGTTTGGGTTCCCTGAACTGAGGTTTGGAATGATTGTGAGCCACCATGTTCTGGGTGCTCTCAAGAACACATGCTCTTAGCTGCTGAGCCATCACTAGCCCCATGTCACCAATTCTTAAAAGTTTCCATCTTGGAGACTTGGTCTTCAATTATTGTTCTTAAAAGGATGCTTTAGTAGATAGTCAGCTGAGTCAGACTGATGGTCGCTGATGTCAGCCTCTGACCTTTGAGGGGAAGGATGTTTGCACAGGTGCATTTGTATTGTTCGTAGTCTTTCAGGAAATTCCCTGAAGGGAGGGATCTGAATTGCATGCATTCCCTGGGGTCTCTTTATAGAAGACAAATTAAGGTTCAAAATAGGCATATGAAAGATAACATCTGTTATAATTATATTGAAAGAATTGAAGATTTAACAGACTTTGGAATGCGGTCATACTTCAAGGTCATTATTGTGAATAATAATCATTGCAGAACAGAAAAATGTAATCTACATTTAAGCTTTTCTGTTTATATTCTGTTTATATTATTATACAAGTGGATATTTGGAAGACATCCCAAAGAGGAGAATACAAGCCTGATTACCTCTGTTTCTTTGTCATTTTTCTTTAGATTGTTTTATCAAACAGATTCATGTTCTGATGACCAGATGATATGGTTATCAGAAAGAGTTTTGAAAATACACAGAAGCCATCAATAGGAATGTTTTTCACAAATAATGATCACTGATTGAGCATTGACATTCTTTTTTTTTTTTTTACCACAAATTACATTCAAATAGCAGAAAAGAGTATTTCTTTATATGTACAAATTTGCAAGGATGAGAAAACAAGATGAAAGATAAGGGAAGCAGGACTTTAGGAGCGGGAAGCATATGGTGGCGTGGTGATGTGAGGAAGTGGACATTTCTGTGATGGGCTCTCAGAGTCCTGGGAGTTTGCAGCAGATATCTCTGCACATTGGAGGGTAAAGAAGATGGTGTTAGCTATCTTAGTTGAATACTCTTTGAGAAACAGTTATATCTTAAAATCCCCTTCCAAGGGGAAGATGCCTGGAAGTGCTTACGGTGTGGAGAGGGCAGACAGGAGTTGACAATAAGGAACTTGGGCTGCCTCACTTAAGCAGGGTGGAGGAGCGACTTCCTGAGAACTCACATTTCCTGGCTTCTTCTGCTCCACCCAGGCTCTGGTGCAGTGTCAGAAAGATAGTCTGCTCTCCGGCTGACCAACAAGGCACATGCCTAGGGTGGCAGTGAAGTGAGAGCCCAGATACAGAAATCAGTCAGTGCAGCTGTGACTGAGTGTCTAGAAGAGGTTTTGGCAGAGATGTAAATGCAAAGACGGGAGTTCACTATGGACCTGGGCAGGTCTTGAACTTGCTATGTAGACCAGGCTGACCTTGAACTCAAGGAGCTCTACCTGCCTCTGCCTCACAAGTACTGGGATCAACGGTGTATGCCACACTACCCAGCTACAAAGATATGCCATAACCTCTTGGAGCAAGTAGGGCAGCTGGTAGATAGCACTGAATTCAACTAATTATGAAAAACTTAAGGTACTTACTCTGTTCAGAGAAGGCAACATGCAGGAAAGAAAGAATTCCAGTGAAACACATAGTTTCATTCTGACTGTTACCTATCATTACTATAACATAAAATAATCTATTCAACCAAAATTACAGGGTGGGACATTGGTAACGATTTCTGCACTTGTCTTGGGTGGCGTGCCTCTGTGTGTGTGAGGAGGAACGGCTGACTGGAGGAAACAGCCTCAAATCTTCCCCTGCCGTTTGGAAAGTCAGCCCAAGCAAATTGGATGGTGAGCTTAGCATCATGGTCTGTGATGTTCATAAAACCGCCCCACCAAGACACGGGAGGCAGAGGATAGGTAGTCTTCATAGCTCACACGTTTACTTATTTAATTGTGGAAATGGCCTAAACATAATTTTGATGCAAATAAAAGAGTTAAATAGGAACACCTGCCGTTGTCAGCTTTTTGCTATACTTTTTGTGCATGTCCGTACCTATGTGTGTGGCGTACATACACACATGCTTGCGCACATAACGCCTTCCTCGCGGCATTTGCTTGGGGTCAGGTAGCATGCTGGGCCTCTGTGAAATGGCACAGAGGAGACCTAGCGTATTTCCATTCCATTGTTTCTAACTTCCTCTTTGGGCATATTTTAGCAAGTAAGCATCCAAATTTACCAGCATATCACATGCCAAAGATTAATTAGAATTTTGTAGGCATTTGCTGAGAACCTTCTAATCATGCCCCCGGAGCTCCAGAAATGAAAAGGATCCCAGTGAACATGTGAGCCTTTGCACTGTGGAATATGCTGGAGGTCAGATCATATGAGGTCAGGTCTGAAACCAAAACTCATGGCATATTACAGATTCATATTTTATTAGTTGTTGTTTGGGTTTAACATTTACTAGAAATTAGGATATGTTCTTCAGGTAAAAGTTCCCTTTATGAACTTAAGAGAATGTGTGTAAAGCGGCCTATCCCAAAGGAGAACGGTAGAGCTCTGGGACGTGGGGTGATCTCTTAAGTCGGTAAGGATTCTTTTCATCCTGAATGTAATGTCCTTTCAGACATTTATGGTGCAAGGTGGTGAGGACATCCTGATGATTCTGAGTTAAGAACTCCATTTCTAGAGTCTCCTCAGGTTTTTTAGACATGTTTTTCCAACCTACTTTTAGTGTTGTTCGGAACACATTTTGGGAAACAATATATATTGTTTCCTTTGCAGAAAATGCATGCATGTTTATTAAATGTGGTGCATCCATTTGAGTAGCAGTCAGTTTCATGCATTTCATTTGTACTCCTTATGTTTATCATTGTCAAGATATGTATTTTGACATATTATTTTACCCTAGAAAAATCAGATATTTGAGGCCCAATATTATAGATTTGATGGAGAAGGAGTCAGGAGATGTTGGACCATATTATGAAGTTTAAGCTAGGAATGCGTTTCAGAGAACATCATAGTGACTGTAGTTTAAAACAGTGTATTCTTGGAGAATGGATAAAATAGATTTTAAGCATTCTCACCACAAATTGACAATAGTATAAGGAAATCATCTACTGTTTAGCTTGATCTGGCCATTCTACAGTATAGCTCAGAACATTGTGTTGTATGCGCTATCATGTCAACCTAATCTGTCAATTTGAAATATTTTAAAAGGCTGGTTTATTTAAGTATTTATAGTTAGACAGTATTTATTTGAAATATCGTTTGGAACTCTATACCCCAACATTTAAAATCCTTTGTTTTATAAACTTTATATGTGTTCAGATGTGTACATTCATGACATGCAAGTGTATACAGGCATATGGACTGATGGAGAGGGACACTATATAGATGATTCTAAGGTATTTTCATGTGTTATATTTTGTTGAAGAGTTACTTTTTACTGTGTTGGTGGTGAATAATCTTGCACATAAAATTGACCAGGTGTCTTTGTCTTTGTTATATATTTCCAGAAATTATTTTTTCTCAAAAAGTTTATGAATCCTTAGCTTTTCCTTTCCTTTTGTGGTGCTGAGAGATTGAACCACATGCTGGGCAGGTGCTGTGCCACTGAGCTATACCCCTAAGATGCACTATGTCTTTGAATGGATAGCTATTGTCTGAAAGCACCACACTGGGCATCTGCATGAGAGCATCAGGACCTAATCGGTGTCTTAGTTACTTTTCAATTGCTATAAAAACACCATGGCCAAAGCAACTTATAAAAGAAAGTATTTAATTTGGGGCTCATGGTTTGAGAGGACTAGAGTCCATGACATCAACATCGTGCTGGGGAGCATAGCAGCAGTCAGGCAGGCATGACACTGGGAAAATAGATTAGAACCCAAATCTTGAGACACAACCATGAGCCAGAGACAGCTAACTGGGTAGTAAAACCTCAAAGCCTGCTCCTAGTGATTCGCTTCTACATACCTCCTAATCCTTCCCAACTGGGGACCAAGTATTCAAACATGGCCTGTAGAGGCCATTCTCATTCAAATCTCCTCATTGGGCAACCTGTGGTTTGTTATCCCCCCAAAGTACTGTTTCATGTATTATCCTACATTTAACTGGGTAAGGCGTAGGACCTTTAAGATGCTTTTTGACCAAGAAGTTGTTCCTATCCACCATGACTATTGCATATGAACTCATAGCAATTTAAAGCTTTATTTTTATTTACTAGACTTCACATGTAAGTATTTAGTTTGTGATATAACTCAAGTATTAATTCAGTTGAAAATATCTGTGGCTATGATATTGTATTCTAATTCTTTTCTGACATAGAAATAAAATTATGGTAGACTTTATAAGAAAATAACAAAGATAGAAAACCTGAGAAGATATTTAAAAATTTTTACATTCAATCATCTTTAATTTCCACCATATTTATTTGGACTCTAGAAAGGCTTTTCAGATGCTGTGAAAGGGTGCCAGTCACCTAACCGCTTCATTCTCTTTGCTTTAGGAAGAAGACAGTGGTCGCACGGAGCCCTTGGATGCGGAATGGAAATTCTTGAGTGGCAGCTTTGTCTTAACCCTCAAGCTTGCATTATCTTCAGCTACTCCAGCTTTGATGACTATCTGTGACCACTGTCTATATAGCATGCTGTTATGAAATATTAGAACTGCTGTTATCGTAACGAAACTCAGTGTGTATGCATACACCACAGCTTCTGGTGTTCATACTTTTGCACATACTGCTTATTGCTTATGTGTAGAAAGAATGAAAGTAGCTTCCAGACCTGTTAATATGATTGTATCATATAACAATATGAAAAAAAAACATTTCCACAGCCAAGTCTTGCTCACTTCCAGCCTATTGTAATTCTTCATAATAAAATAAGAGTTTTGATCTACAACAGCCTAGAATGTCATGAAGGCCTCAAAAATTATCTCGTGTTTTTTTTTTAAATCGTACCAAATTTAATGTCAAGCTGGTTTGTCATGGCAAATGAATTTAGAGCTAATGCAAAAATACTTTATATATATTATTTTAAAAAATAATTTAATTGAATATAATATAGTTATGACATATCTGAAAGTATGGTTTCTACGAAGTTAAGAATAGCATGAGAAATAGGAAAAAAGATGGACACAGCATCCCAGTAACAGCTTTGTTTCCATAATAGAAATATGAATTCAAAGGTAGTCTATATTAATTTAGTATTGTACACTTTATAAGACATCAAAATTCTTTATAGGTTGCTCTTCTGTGGTGAGGTAAGATAAGGGTCAACCATACTCTTCTTTTAAAAATGGCTGTGAATTAAGCACATCCTTAGTCAGAGTTCAATGTGACAGAATGGTGTAAAGTGGTAGAGATAATGGAAGAAAGCAAGAACTTAATAAATAAATGTTATTGGTTGTTAAAATAGCTGCAAAAACAAATAACTTAAACATCAATCTCAATTTGGAGGGATTGTATGATGGTAGGTAGAAGGTTTTGGATCTATTGAGTAGAGGCTGCATTAATGGAAGCAAGAGACCTCTCTGAAAAAGAAGCAAAGAAGGTTCAAAGTGGAGTTGTTGGCAGGAAGGAGACTAGAGCCACGGTCATGAGGAAAGTGAGATACAGGAATGATCAGTAGCCCTGGAATACAACAGACCAGCCACATGGAGTTGGCTCTCTTTCAGGAGTTGGCTCTCTCTCTCTACCATGTGGATCCAGAGGCCCATCAGAGGCAAGGACCTCTGATGACACAGAGAGGCCCTGGATACTTTGTGGAGCTTTCAGTATTTGCTAAAATGGAAATGGCAAAGTATAGGTGAAACAAAAACCAAACACCTAGAACTCTGCAGTCTACACTTACATCTTCTAGGCTAGCGCTGTGAGACTGTGGTCAGCCATGGCTGCAGGGTGACATCATTTATAGCTATGGCATCCATACTTTTTATAGTCCATACTTTATGGACTAGATCTAAAGCCCTCCATGCTTGGCCGGTCACATGGTCCGCCTGGTGCTGCTTTCATAGATCGGCGCCTGGGACACAGTCATTCATAGGTGTCCGTGTCTCCACTCCTACAGGGCTGACTTGCACTTGAGTTCTTGGTTTCCATATCTCACCCTTCCTCCAGTCTCTATCCATCTTTCCCTGAAACTTATGAAATAGAAAATGTAACAACAGAGACTAATACAATTGACTTCCAGAATGCTGTCTAGCTGTCATGTGTTCATCTTCTAGTCTAAGATAAGAATTTCATAAAGCAACCAAATTTTATTATCTGAGTATTTCTTAAATGGCCATTTAAGATGAGTATTCATGGTGAGGTTTAATAGATTTAATATTGTTTCTGTCTGTTATTTTTTCTTTTCTTTCTTTTTTTTATTTTTAAAGAGAAGTTTTTATTGTTTAACTTCGGTCATCCTGGATATCTCTGTGGTTATCAGACTGGCCTTAATCTCACAGACTCTGCTGGAATTAAAGGTGTGAGCCACTAAACCTAGTCAAAATTCATATGTATGAAAAACCCCTTCAAATGCTAATTGCAGCTGATTGAGAGTAGAAAAACTGGTGTGTGCTTGTATGAATGGATTTAAAAGTCTAATTAGTCCATCAATAAAACTGTAAATAACTATTCTCAAATCTATATTACTTTGATCGTGAGTGGGAAAGAAAATCAAAAGTTATGCACTGGGGGACCTGTGCCTTCTGGAGCAGACGTGAGAGAGGGCTCTATGGTGAATCTAATAAAGCTTGAGATTTAGAGTAAAGGCAACAAGCTGAAATGCCTTTCCATAAAGCTTCCACATACAGAAGTGTATCTGAGTAGTGGTCATTAATGAACCTAACAGTGTGTGAGGGGATATTGCTCTCAGAAGGTTTATCAGCCAAGATACTTTCAGTCATCTCCATGAACAAAACGTGTGTTTGTACGTGTATATGTACACGCGTGACACAATATGCATGTGGAGGTCAGAGGGCAACTTTCAGGAGTTGGCTCTCTCTCTCTCTCTGCCATGTAGGTCCTGGGCATGGCATCAAACTTTGGTCGCTAGGCTTGGCAGCAAGTGCCACTACCCACTGAACCATTTCTCTGGAAGTTGTTTCCTTTTGTTGTTGTCCAGTCTATCCAGAGACTGACCAATGTTGGTGAGATTTCCAAAGAACTGAGGTTTGATTTGTTTTTTTCTCTGTTGGGTTTCTGATGTAGTCTGTATTTTCTTTCATTACTTGTTGCTTACTGTGGGTTTAAGCTCTGCCTTTTCCAGTATCTTAAGGAGCAAGATTGGGTGATTTCATTGAGATTTTTTGGTTTTTAGACACTTTCAGTAGCAAGTTTTCCTTAAGTGCTTTTAGAAACAGCCTATAGATTCTGAAATGATACTTTTAGGTTTTCATCCACTTCAATGTATTCTCTCCAATTTGCACTTTTATGGTTAGTCCAATTGCCACTTTAGACACGTGTGAATTTGTACATCGTATGAGTTCCTAAGCTTTCATACTCATTCACAATTATCCTGTTTTTATGGGTAGGCAACATATTTAGTACAATCTGGGTACTTTACAAGTTATGCAGGCTTTCTCATGTGTCATGGAGAATGGCATGGGCATGGTTGACATGGATGCTTGCTTTCCGTTTGGGTACTGTGTTTTATAGATGCTCGTTCATCTAGTCGACTTACAGCGTTGGTTAAGGCTATTATTTCCTTGTCAACCTTCTGCTCGTTAGTGAAAGTAAACACTTAAGTCTCCAACTACTATTGTTATGTTGAGCATTTCTTTTAAAAATTCTTTTAGTATTTTCTTTGTGCATTTGGTATTCTGTTATTAAGGGTATATGTATTTATAACTGTTTAATTACTGTTAATTATTTTGCTTTTTGAGTTTATTTATTTTTTTAACCATTTCATAAATGACAAAATTTCATTTTTCTTTTTTTTTTATGTCTTTTTTTTAAATTTTATTTTTCTTTTTAGTTACATTTTGTTAACTCTGTGTCCCAGCTGTATCCCGCTCCCTCATTCCCTCCCCAGCCCCACACTCCCTCCCTGGTCTCCTCCCTGTCCCTTTCCAAGTCTACTGATAGGGGAGGACCTCCTCCCCTTTCATTTGACACTGTTTTATCAGGTACCTTCAGGGTATATTCTTAGTGTCTTGATCTAGAATTTATTATATTTATGTGTGAATATGTTCTAATTTCTGAGAATTGATTTTAGCTTTATACCAACTTTATTATTATCATCTTAGTTATTCCAAAATAACCCCATGACTTCCCTTTTTGTTCTAATATATATAAATATATATTCTTGTGATATGACCAAAGGATATTATTATCTTACATCATTTCTAGATGTGTCATCCTCAATAACGTATTTTAGAATGAATCTGTATAATTATGTACATGCGAAAGAGACTGAGAAAGGAGAGTCAATCCCTAGTCACAAAGTTTCTTATTTAGTTTTATTTGTCACTCTCGTTATGTTCATTTGGTTCCAGGGCTTCAGGTTATTGACTAGCGTCAAGTTTTTTTGCTCTAGTTCTGCTTTGTTCCCATCTGCCTTTTTGCTGTTATTGCCAAGAATGCTACATTTCTATATGATGTGGATCTAACAGTACAATAATATAGTAGAGTTTCATATAGTAGTCATTTAAGTGACAACTAGAGTGTAAGTGAGAAATGTCCACTTACCGTTCCTCTATAGTGACCTACATTTTCCGGTGTTTTGTTGTTGTGGCTATAGGTTCAGATTAGTATCTGGTATCTCTAGGCTTCACACGGAGGATCTTCCATTGGCAGTGCTTTGGGGCAAGTCCTCCTGATATTTGTTTAAGCATAAAGTCTTCATTTCACCTTTATCAGTAAAACTTGATTTTGATGTATGTAATATTTTTTAGTAATGTCTTCATCAAACAAGGGATGGCCCGCTATCTTCTGAGACCCACAGTTTCTGCTGTGGTGTTATCAATTATATTCCCTTCTGAGGAACAAATCACTTTTCTCTTGCTGGTTTCTGAATTTCCCTTTCCCCTCAGCATTATTCCTGTAATGTTTTGGGGTATAAATCTGTGTTTATGCTACTTGGACTCGTGTGACTTTCTTGAATGTGTAGAATAATGTTTTTTTGGTCAAACATCAAACATTAAAATTTTTTTCTCATAGATTTAGAACACCTAACTGTTTAGCAGCATGCCAATGTAAAGTAAAGGGAGCCACGTCATCCTGCTCATAGTCCTGGCCCAGGAGTAGAAGAATCATCCTTACAAGCTTGCATGAGAGAGGAAAAAGGTTTGGGGGTCATATTTCAAATTAAATGTTCTCAGCATTTTTTTATTAAGTTAGAAAATATTCTGGACTAAATATTTCATCATTTCATGTGTTTTCTGAGGACAGTTTCCAAGTCTACACAAGAATGTACATGTGTGAACTCACAGATACAAAAGCCTATATTTGTGTTTTCTACCAGTTTCTGTTGCTGTTTTATGTGTTTGTTTGGTCCACAAGTCTCACATAGCCATTGTGGATATAGTTTTCTGTCATTTAATAGAGAAAATTATTTTAAATATTAGGTGAATTGAATTTTTCACTTGAATAAGTGTTTAAAAAATTCTTATTCAAATATCATTATAATTGAAAGTAGATACATGCTCTTTGATAATTTACTTGTTCTGTTGCTTTTTAAATTTTTGAAGTTTATTCTCTCATACATACATCTCAACCACAGTTTTCCCTTCCTCCCCTCCTCCCAGTACCCATCCCACATTCACTCCTCCTCTGTTTCCTTTCAGAAAAAGGCAGGCCTTCCAGGGATATTAACCAAACATGGCATATCAAGTTGCAGTTAGGCTGGATGAGGCAACACAATTGGAGGAAAAGGGTCCTAAAAGCAGGAAAAAGAGTCAGGGACACACCCACTACCACTGTTAGGAGTTCCACAAGAATGCTGAGCTA